ATTTAGTTTGTTATCTATATCCGAACTTTTATATTAGTTTTTTAGGCGTTTTTAAACGGATTTTATGCTGTAAAAGATCCTATTTACGCCGATTCACTGCCGAAGCTGTTGCATTTTTGTTACGGAAGTCCAGTGCAGTCGGAAAGCTTACCGTATTTTTGGCTGAAACAGCATACAATGTAAAAATTTTATTTGTTGATAATTGCAAGGAAGTAGGTCGGCTGATCTATGTTTTTAAAGCATCCAAAATTCGAATAATTAAAATTGAAATATCTCTAATTGCAGGAGACCAATAATTCATCACTTATTGATGGCATATCTCGACTATATTTCAATGCTCTGAAGATTACTAAAGGACACTTTCACAGTACAGCTCCGCAAGCAAGTTCTTTGTATCGACTTGATTTGTTTCCTTCTGTTTTCATGCTCAAAATACACAGCAAATGCAAAAATTTTGACTAAATTATTTCATAATGTCACACTGATTTATACTGTATGTTGATGTGAATTGAATTATAGCTGTTGTCAGAAATTTTGCAAGCGTCATTCGAAATTGAGGGAAACGATGTCCGAAATGTTGCGATCCAGGTTTTGGTTGGCACAATATGTCAGTGTAGTATCTACACATCGAAGGAATATAGTGAATTGCTTGTGGATGTTATTCTGGTAATCCTGATTATCTTGGAAAAACTCTTTAAATTTCTAAGAATTTAATTTTTAACAGAGCTGCTCAAATCTTGATTACAAATTATTTTTATTGATCTTGACTTATATTCAAATTTATATTTGATCTGCCACTTTTCAATATATTACTTCACAGAACGCAAAAAAAAATCAGTAAACTTTTCGTGATGACAAGAAGGAGAATAGCGATGGTAAAAGCTTATTGTGTGTGTGTTTAACTTTCATTTCGAATGTTTTATCGCGTAGTTGAAGTTAAAGAAGTTGAATTTCACTATTTTTGACAAGTGTTTCGAGTTCATAGGATCAGAACAAACTTTTTAGAAGCAGTACAAGACAGCTATGATATCATTGGACACAGTGAAAAGTTCAGCATTGGCCAAGCTTTTAAATGCTTGGATAAGCCAAAAGATGGGCAGGTCATTACATAACCCATCATCTCTGTTTCAAGTTATAATAGATGGTGTGAAAAATAGAGCTGGAGAAATGGAGAGAGAAACTATTGGATTGCTAAGCACTGCAATCATGAGGTTAATTTGATAACGCAATTTTTATTTTTCTCAAATCTCAACTGGTTTTGTCTTGGAACGTGTTCATTTATGATAATAGACAACTAAGATTATGCTTTTTTATTTAAATGTTGTCGTTTATCTGGCATTTCTGCAACTTTATAAACCAACTTTGTTCTGGTTTTTCACAATCTCAAAGCCGCTTCCTCTCACTAAATTGTCTTTCCGAAAAAATATTTCAATTATTACCGAAATACCGTTGTAATATTTAAATTATATACATTATTGATACTCTCAGAATTATTCCATTTCCATGAATTCAAATCATCTTGCAGGAATTTGAGCTCAAGAAGAGACATTTGAATATTTTTAGGTATCATGGTGATAGTGAATTACATTCATTGATTACTACAGCAATACGTGTGCTTATGGATGACGACCAGAGGTTCATTCTGTTTTTTTTTTGTTTGTTTGTATGTTTGGGCTAGCAATAAATTGGATTCTAGACTTTGTCTAAGATTTTCGACAAGATATTACAATTTCTATTTTTGAGTTGTCTTCTCATTTCAAATGACACTTTCAGATGCGGTTTCGATGTGATATTAGATTTCCTTTACAACATTTCTGATATTCCTTTGTTTGATATTTGGATAATGCCTATTGTTGGTGCGTTTATGTCACGACTGGTTGTACAGAAGGACGCTCAGATCATCAGCAAAATTTTAAAATTTTATGCGGATATGTGCAATAAACGAAGACCGATTTGGAAGCATAAAGGTAAAAAAGGGATTTGTAAAGGATGGATAAGTCGGCAAAGATGCGCTATTATATGTAATATGCTATTCTTCAGGAAGGCGGATTTGTTTCTTTGATATTTCCAATCATTTGGAAGTACGCAATCGACTCATTGATATCCTGAAATCGGCAGATAAATTTGATGCAGAAATTGTAGGTTGCTGTTTGATGACATATCCTTGGTTATGGAATCAGTCCGAAAATCCAAAAGGTAAGATTGAAAAATTCGTCATGGGACAGATGTTAATACACATGATATAGTCGAGTATCACCATTTTTGCATATCCTTATTCTTTTGCTTCTTTTTTCACAAATTTTAAAATTCAGTATTCCTTACATTTAAAAGAGAAGGAGGAAATAGCATTGGGAGTGGATTTGTTCGTTAATTAGTAACTTATATGTATTTCTGTTTCAGAAATTGCTGTTGTGTTCAAAATTCTTGTAAATTCAATGAGCAGTTTAGACAGTGCTGATGCTCGTTTATCACTTCTTGCTGCAAATGCTTGCTTTCTGTTTGATCCCAATTTATTAAGACAATTTACTCTTGATACCCTGCTGAAATATTACAAAAATATGGGAAGTAACGAGGCAGCTCTGCGCACTTTGGCTTTGATGTTACCGTTTGTTGAGGATTCCGAGAAATTGAAAAATGTTTCTGCTCTGAGCAAGGTTACAGAGTTTTATCTTGGCTTTGTGAAATGTCGGCAGATGATAGTAGTTATAGAAATCAGTTGCATATTCATTTTTTAATTCTAAATGATTATGGAAGAGATTACAACTTCATTTACAATATATAGATAAATTGCTCAGCAAATAGCGGTGGTGGTCTCAAATTTCCAATAATTTGTAAAGAAATTTTTTTATTGGACTAAAAGTTTTGCATATCACAAGTAAACATAAGTTGTATCTTTTTAACAAAATATAACACTTGTAAGTCTTATTTGCTAGTGAAAACACTTTCACATCTATAATGCACATCTGCAATCATTATACCAATGTTTGGCAACTGGAGCAATTATTTCTTTTAATCTCTTGAACCTTACAGACTTTAAAGGGCATCCTCTTCACTATTTTTTAATTTTGCATTCAGTAAACTTATTCTCTTTTGGAATTTTCATTGATTCCTGCAGGTTGCTAATGAAATTTTGCCAATGTTTGGCCACTGGAGCAGTTATGTACGACAAGTTGCTCTGGAAGTCCTGACTCATTTTGATATTCCAATGAATAATGCAGAAAACAACGATGGAACAATTGTAAGTTGATTTATACCTTCAGCGAATAGATTAATTCTAGTTAACTTGAAATTTCAATTTAGTTTTGAAACTTTGAATCAGGCCTATTTGATAAAATTGATTTTTTTCTTTAATCTAAGTATTAACGTAGAAATCTTAGCCTATCAGAAGCACCAAATAACTTAATTGAAAAAGAAAACAAAAATCTATGAACTTTCGATTTTGAAAGCGATTTTTCAGGTTGAAGTAGAAAGTGCTTTTAATCTTCTCCTACGATCCGAAAGAACACCATGGACTTTGGAAGAATACAGGACGCGTTTGATGATTCTACGTCAGCTGACTTACGGCGCACATACGAAATATATGCCACAAGGTTTCGATATAATAATTGAGACGGTAAGTTGCTTTCATTTAGTTGTAAATAATCTATTCTTCTCTTAAAACTGACTGAAACTGTCGTTATATCGCCATTAATAAGGCGAGCGAAAGATTAAATTAAATACCGGGATCTTTCATCACCAAATAATATATTCCAATAAAAATATGTGTACTGTTTAGATTCCTTTGCGTGTTATTATTGGAAATCTCTATGAACCGTTCACAATTGCATGGAACGAGCTGAAAAATATTATCCAAGATTATGCCTATGGATTAAGCATTGATACATTCTTTTCACTATTTTTGCCTTTTATTAATCAGATGGAGTTAAAAAGTCATCATGGTTTGTATTTTGTTAATATTAATGATTTGGTTATCTTAATATTATGTTTCGCTTTTGAGTAATTTTGTATGTTCAAGTGATTTTTTCTCTTTTTTTGTGTCTTTGTCCTGATGACATCCTTATGTATAGATTGCATCCTTCCTATTCTGAATTTTATCAGCTATTAGAATAGGTTTGATTATAATATTATATTTCTTATTGCAGTTATATCTAAAAATAGTGGTAATTCAAATTGTGACATGCTTGACAAAATGACAATTATTGCTGACAAAAGTCCGCGGAATTACGGAGTTTTTCGATTGGAGATGTTTGGGTTTCTTAGTCGCATAAGTGATTTGTGTGAGCGTCGAACTAAACTACTAAGTCCTCTTTTCATTCATTTTGTCAGGTAAGCATAATTTTTATAATTGTACAAAAAAAAAATCGTATTTATCAGAAAAAGCTTGTTTCAATTTTAACTTCGATTTTGGGCATATTAAAATTTTTCCTTCAATTCATTACGGGATGCATCGCTTCAACATATTTCTACTGATGGATAGCACAAGCATCAGCGAGGGATAGGTTTGTTAGAAGCATTGCTAGATTAATTAAGCGTAATAATTTGGGAATAAATATGATCGTTATATGTTGTATAGTCAAATTGTGTATTTTTAGTACATTGATTTGTTGAGTTTTTTCGGATTGCAGAAATGAATATCAACAAGAAAATCTATTGAAAAGACAAGAAAACATCTTATTAGTGACTTCATCTAGTCGTCCTTGTTCTGGAGACGAAGATGATGACAAGGATGATACAAACGACGACCCACAACTGTTAGTTTATAGAATGAATAGGGCAGAGAAGGTTTTTATTTCTGTGTTTTATGTTGATACAATATAAATGATGATGTCCTTATAGATTTGGCCCTGGAAAACCAGATGACAACAAAAGGGAGGAAGAAGATGAATGCGTTGGACGAAAATTGATTAGGAGTAGCCTAATTGCTCTTTTGGATTTGTTCGCAAACTTTACTGCACCAAAAACTATTTGCATGGCTAATGAAATCCGAAATTTATACGACGAGGTAAGCAACGGCTTATTCACCATGCTTGCTTTCTATTTAATGTTTGTTAATGACGTTTAGCTAATTGTTTAGTTCTGGACTGTGACGAGTAGAATAGGATGCCATCGAGAATGTTCTGTGTAACTTAGTTACACATTAGATGTATTATGTTCTTGCTATCGTGGTAACTATATTCTGTTTAGCTTTTGATGGTCGGTGATGAAGCAGTGCAACAACGGGCATTAAAATGCATATTTACCTATAATTATAAATATCTTTCACCATACAGGTTTTTCTTCAAGCTTTACTAATTTCGTGTTTCATAGCTTAAAATTTCAGTCATTGAGGAAGTTCGAACATTAGAGCAGACGACTTATTGGTCAGTTTTATTTTTAGGATTTTAAGAAATTTGAATAAACACTTACATAGTGTTGTTTCGAAAGAGACTTTTTGATGAAAGATTATTATTGCAGAGAATATCTAGAAAATTTGGTGCAGGAACGAAATTTAACCAGTAGTTTGGTGAAGTTTCCAATTGATGATCATAGTTCCGTAATTGACAGCACTCATCGTACTGATGTTATGCCGATTCTGTTGAGGTCAGTGTTTTAGTAATGCAGTATTTTCTCCCCAATTTAGTAATTCATAAACTTCGTTTTCTTTTTCTCTTTATACTTTTGGATCATTACAAAAGATAAGCTGTACGAATGGCTATCAGCTTTATTCCCGAATTTTACTCTTCCAGGCTTCTATACGGAAAATGCAACATACATTGTAAGAAAGATATGACAGACCGACGTACAGCTATATTTCGGTATCTTGCTGGAAGCACATCAGATGAATTGGATTTCTTTTTGAAGTTGCTCTTTGCACCTTTGCTGAAAGTTATCGGTTGGTGATTGTATTACATGCGGGATTGCTGAAGTTATTTCAAGCATAAACATGTAAATATTGGTTCTAAACTTGTAGATGAAGACGAGCACTCACTGGAAGTATTTTGCAAGCGAACAGTTTCAACTTTTGATGCTTCTTCAATGATTCCGTTGCAAATTATCAAAGGGTTTGCCTTTCTTTTCATGTAAAATGTAGTTACTTTTGATGCATGGCAGGTAAAGAAGAGACTATGCGGTAATACATTCGAAATAAGGTTATTGCAGCTGTTTGGTATTTCACTGCATGAATGGATATTTATTTCCCTTTTTAAATAGCAAGGTATCAGGTTTAGCTTTTCATCCTGCAAAATCCAACTAATTGAAGTTTTTATTGTTAAGATTTCTATAAGCAACATAATTAATTCAGTAGTGCCAACAAAAGCGGAAATAAAAGATTAGAGAGAGTACGAATTGAATTACTACTACTGTTGATACTACCCGCTGTGCACGCTGTACGATTTGTTGAAGTGTAAGCATTGTGAAGTGTTGTCCCGCTACCAGCCTGATCAGCGCAGCGAGTATCATCGAGAGGTTGTTCATAGGCTGCGTTAACACTTTGGTAATATTCAATCCAGTCACCGATCCAATTTAGTCGACAGTCGCATATAATTGGGTTACCCTGAAAGTAGTTACAGCTGTACTTCGCTTTCCTTTTAATAACATTGAAGAAATTATTTAACAAATTTATAAGATGTTGTGGGCATTCTTTTTCTGTCAATTTTTTTATATATTGTAATTCTTTTATGAGTAGTTTGCTATGAAATAACCTTACCGATCAGAACGACTGTTCTTTTTCCTATTATTTTTTTAAAATTATTTCCTTTATTCCGTCAAAGCTACATGTTTGGAGGTCCTCATAAGCTCATCTCATATCTCAAAGCTTACTGAGATTTGAAGTGAGCTTAGTAATACTTTTAAATATGTCATTCTTCGTCAGATTTTAATTGACTCTTCTGATGGAAATAGTTACTGTAGGAAATAATACACGATAATGGTTTCTTGAATGCTTACCGTTAGCTGTAGATTGTGCAGTATAGTGCCGTGCTGATTGAGCACGGGTGGTTTGGTATGTGGAAATGGTTCAAGGGTTTGCAAGTGGTTATTCTGTAGTGAAAGTGATAGGAAACGAATAGCAGTTAAAGTGTTGAATATTGATGGTGGAAATACTTCGATTCCAGTATCACGTACTGTTAAGTCTACTTTATAGCCACGTAGTTGCGCAAATGCACCCGTATCGATCTGAAGGATATTCATTCAATTCAGTTCTGATCAAAAGAATTTTAGTTGAAATTAAAGTCATATTAAGCTAGGAAGTTACATGAACCACTTCTAATTTGAGAAAATTAGGCTTTGTCGAGTTTCGATGCCGACAAGTTTTAAAGTTTGTACCATACTACCCATACAAGAATTTGCTCGCAAAATTTTTGATAACATACTTTAAATAATTGTTTCCCAGTGATTACAATCTTACGTAGTAATCTAAGGTCAGCACTGTACATCTGCGTTGTCAAGCGTGCTTCCCTGATTTCTATAGCCAGACTGCGTAATGGAGGTAGATGTTTGAGGATATCTGATATGTTATAAGCCTGTACACGGGGAAGATTGTAAATCTGAAAGTTATAATGAGTTCTAGATTTTTAATGAAAAGAAGATTGTCTACAGGAATAAACTGTGGATTTCCCGGATAGTTGTAGCATTCCCATCAACTGGTAAGGATATGTTAAGATAATCACATGAAAATTGCGTAGATGGCGTAATTTTCGAAACGAATATGGTTCCGGTAGACGAATTAGCTCTTCCATATCGCATAATCTGAGCGTTTCAAGCTGAAATATTAAGATGAACCAACTCAGTTGACCTTGGATGGTGGAACAATCATTTAATAATGATGAAAATCAAAGAAAGCTCTCTGTTGAACTTTATAAAAAATAAGTGGTTTTAGAGACGCTTACATTGTATAGATTTCGAAGATGTCTATCCGTAACTTTAATGACTGGATTCCCGGTAACATTGAGATGTTTCAACTCAACAAGTTCGGCAAACATTTCCGAATCAAGTTCTTTAAAATTATTGTAAGAAATATCGAATGTTACCAATTTACGGTTGTTAATTAGATGTGCCGCGTTCAGTTCATGAATTTTATTGCTGGAATGAATTTTTTTTTAAATATTTTCAGATTTAAACAAATGAGAGGCTACTAGGATTGTTAATGTTAAAATCGAATATTAAATATAAATTTATCATTTGTTTTCCGAGTAATTCAGAATTAATCAAACATGTGAATGTGAACATTCACATGTAATATTCAACGTAAATCGTGGTAAGGAGGCATTGAGGTATAAGTATGAAGTTAATTAAGTACATTGTGAATTAGGGATCTGGACAATGAGCTGCATAATAAAGTGGATTTTGCACGCTGTTTGAAAGACTTCACGTAATTAAACGTTTACTTTCATGACAAAATTTGTTGGATCATTACTTACTTGCTGATATTCAGAAGTCGAAGTCCATGGTTGTAAATTTTTGGTAGTGAAAATAAACCTGTATTTGCTAGATCAAGTATTTCCATAGCGTTACTCAAATCCTGGAAAGCTTTTGGAGTTATACATTTTATTATTTCTGGATAAACTGGATAAGTTTTCCATATTTCCATCAAGGTATTAGTTCAACTAAATTTCAACATTGAATTTTGAACTTAGTATTGAAATAATTACTGGAAAGTGTTACTCGAAATGCGTGTGGATTCCATGATGTGATAGGGTTATGGCTAATATCCAGTTTTATCAGCTTTTGCATTTTTGAAAATGCTGCTTCTTCAATAGTTTCTATATGGTTATCAGCCAAAACTAGTTCCGTTAGATTCTCCATACCATCGAAATCATTTGCATTTATCGATCGGATTCGATTTCCCTAAACCATGCTGTATTCGGATTCTCCAAAAGATGTTAATGCTTATAATTTTCTTATCAATAATCAATCGCATTTAAATAATTGCAGTGCTCAGGTAATTTGATCTATATCGTTATAGTTTGTATATTCCATATTCATCATTCAGTTATGAAATGAACAATCTAAATACTAAAGTATATCTTGTAGCAAAAAAAAAAAGCTATTTTAGCATGACATTCTGTAACTATGATGTGTAGAGTGGCGGTGACAATTAATATAGACGAAATGAAATCGGCAGTGGTATTTTTCATTGAATAAATAATTCTTAGTAGTTTAATTCCTATGAAAAGATGAGTAAAAAACTGAAAGTCAATTAAAATTACCCTTAGATTCAGATTAGTAAGGCTATTTTGGATTGAACTGAATGCGTGGTGAGGTATTTTCTTGAGTTCATTATAAGCAAGATCAAGCTTGTGAACATTATTGACTCCAAATGTGTCTCTATCCAAGCTGATGATGGCATTGTTTCGTAGTATAAGACTGTCGTAAATATTCTGTAAATTTATTCATTAGTAGTTCTTATTATTGAAATTAATTTAAGCAGATAGTATTATTACGATTAGTTTTGTTGAAGAAGAATCCGAAAATACTTCAAGACATATTTAACCAAAAATTCGAATTTCTTAGGATCATTGCAATCTACCAAGTCACCAAGTCAACTTTTTTTTTGACCAAGTCAACTTTTTTTTTATTTGTAAAATATGGTCTTTTAAACTTTCTGATTTGAAGTCATAGTACATACATTGTGCTGGATCGAAACGCTCCAAAATATAGAAAGATGCAAAATTTGAGCCGTTTTTCTTTTTTTATGAAGCCTTTAATGTACCTGCTCTGCAAAGGTGCCTTTATGTAGTATTCTGAGATGATTATGGGATAAATTGAGTTCGGTGAGCCATTTACACATTGCGAATGCATTGCTTTGTACTTCGATTAATTCGTTATGATCTAGTTTGAGAACTTTTAGCTGACCAAAATCATATAGCAAATTTTTCCCGATTGATTGTAATTGATTGTATGCTAGATTGAGGTATGTCAAGGTTCGCTTTGCTGAATGCAAATCAATCCTGCAAATAATTCCGAACATATTCGAATTGGAATCAGGAAGCCGTTGAAGCTGACTTAGAGTTTGAATTATTATGCTGTATAAAGAAATATAATTTCGGTGTAGGAATTGATCCATGGAGGGACTCACTGTTTTCGTATCTTTTGGTATTTCTTGAAAATCTGTTCTTTAAAACGAAATTCCATTCCTTAGTAAATATTATTAACTGATGGAGTCATCGAAGTTTTTCATATTTTAACTTCAAATTAGTCATACTGTATTTCTTAGAATAACTTACGTAATAATACGATTGTGTGATAGATCAAGATGTTTGATATTCACCAAACTTTGAGCCAGAAATGTAAAGTCAAATGTCCGAAGTTGATTGTAACTTAAATCGAGTTGCTCCAGATTATTTAGATTAACGAAAGTTGCCTTGTTTAATTGCTGCAGACGATTTCGAGCCAACGATAAATTCTCTAGGGTTGGTATATCACTTATCGATCGTTCTGTTGTCATACTAATCGCATTTCCGGCCAGACTAAGCTGGCGTAGATTACGTAGCGACGAAAATGTCTGCATATTTTATTTTATTTCAACAAATTACAAAATTTTGCAGGAAAATTTTTTTTTTCGAAATTTCTTTTCAAAATTGATAAATGTTTGCAACTGTATATGTCTAACATTTCAGCTATGGGTTAACTCTTATACCTGTTAATTATGAATAACTTTGTAAACCATAAATTAATCAACTTTGCGCAATTTGCACTACCTTAATGAGCCAGTCACTTCGAGACGTGATCATTCAGTGCTAAGTTAATCACTTTTTACCCTGATATGTTTCTTGTTAAAAAATCAATTTTCATTTTTTTTTCCTGTCCCAAACAATCGGATAATTTAGAAACTTACTAATGTCTGGATACTTGTTAGCTTATTGTTGTTAAGTGTCAGTTGTTCCAAACTGTCCATATTGTTGAATGCTCCAGTGGAAATATAGTTAATATGGCCAAAAGCCAAATTCAGGGAACGTAAATTTGGTGCAGAGTGACTAGAAAATGTACGATTTGTGATGTGTTGGAGTTTTGTACGAGTGAGCGACAGACGCTGTAGAAATTGAAGACTGCGGAGGAAATAATCAGGTAGAATGGTTATCGGATTATCATCCAAAAGTAGATAACGTAGCCGTTTTATATTACCAAGGGTAGTAATGGGGAATTGATTGAGTTGGTTGCTCTGAAATAAAACATAATCTTCAAATGAAGTTAGATGCTTTATAATATAAAATATATAAATAATATATGTTGTTATGTTATACTTGAAGATCATGAAGGATATATTATGCTTAATATAGGCAAAATCTTCAATTAGTAATAATGGCTAAATTTAGAAAAAAAACAAGAAATCGATTCTACTAACAGTTACCTGTAGAAAAAGGGACTCGAGACCTTCAAGTCGTTCAAAGGCATTATCATTAAGATAGCTGATACGATTGTGCGATAAATCCAGATATGCTAGTGAGCTCATGTAAAGGAAAGAACCAGAATCAGTAATATTTTCGATCAGGTTTCCAGCCAGATTCAACTTTAGTAAACTTGTTCCAGTACCATCAAATTTCCCGAAAGCTAAGCGTTGTATGTACCGAATCCTATTCTTTGACAAATCGAGATGTCGTAATCGACTCATCCCATTCAGTACTTGGGTTGGTATCTCGGTTAACCGATTAAATGCTAGGAGAAGCTCGGTTAAAACTGGTTTCAAGTTATTAATCATGTTGGTATCCAGTCTGTAAATGATAACCCATATTTCCTAAAGCGATTATAGTAGGACCTAATACTTATTACCTAATGTGACGAAATTGGAATGATTTAAGGTTGCGTCAAGGAAATGTAGTTAGCTACAATTATTATCATGACATATTGATTTACGAAAGATTACCGGTATTTTTACTGGCTGAAATTTATTCTTTCCTTTTCATTTCATAAGTAAAGAAGAAAGTTAACTTACACAGTCAGCTTATTGCCATTCATGTTTAAAATCTCCAATGTCCGTAACGGTTGCAAAGCATTTGGTAGTTGATGTAATTGATTCTCCTCCAAATTTATCCATTTCAACGATTTGGCCATATTTTTGAATGTACCTACTGGTATATGTACTATCCTATTATAGCTTAAATCGATTTGTTGCATTTGACTGATTGAATTAAAGGCAGCTCCGGATATTGCTGAAATCTGAAAGTTAAAAGTAAGTTTCCGGAATCTTTTCTCAAGTTTTATGTCTTTCTTGCAATGTACTTCTGATTTAACTTTCATGGCTGAGGATTAACCAAACCATTCGTTTACAGATTGTGAGTATAAGGAGGGATGATTTCTTATCATAAGGCTTAATTTGTTAAATTTCCATTTCTAATTTGATTTCTGACATTATAATGTTTAAGATTTTACCTGGTTGTAGCTTAAATCTAATCGACCAAATTTCTGGAAACTGTCAAAAGCGTTATCTTTGATATATTTGATTCGATTATTGCTTAGTTTTAGATCAATCTCCGAAACAAATTTCACTTCGGGGTTGTTACCAATTTCAGTAATATTATTACTCTCTAGATCTAAAGTGCGTAACTGTTTCAACTCTCGTAGCGCAAGGTATGGTATCTGGAAATTTACAATATATGACCAGTGTATTTTTATATTACTACACATTTTTACGTGATTTCATTGTCATTATACAGTATACGTTTGATTTAGACGCTCAGTGCGAAGTTTTATCAATGCACCATATCAGGATATTACCCTTTCCTGATTACATAACAAATATGACATTAATGCATACTGATAAAATGTCGTAATATGTAGCACGTTGTTGTTGATGTTTGAAATCTAGTTGATAAAATCTTAATCTGGTATTTGAGAATCAATTGGAAGCATCTAATACTGAGACGAACCAGTAGGATACCTGCTAGTATTAGTTTCAATTAATGTGAGCTTGCAACTTAGTAAAATTCTTTAGCTATCGTAGGAGATTAGAAACTGTGGATTCTTTGTAAAAGCTGGAATCATTAATTCAAATCTTACCCATCTCTTATATACTTCTTGTAATCCTTCAAATTTTCCTCTCTTGCTTTCTTTGGAATTTTATTATCATAACTACTGCTGTCATCACAGCATGTTACTTCTTTTACTTCATATAAATTTACTTTTTAAGTCTTATTTCTTTATCCTTCTGGATTTATTAAAGTTGTAAAGTTTGTTAAGCAAAGAGTTTTTATCAGCTGAGTGATCACCTTAACATCGTAGTTTTTTGAATGCTTCTCGGAATTCTAAATATTTTACGAGCCGGAGATATGGAACTATGAGCTTAGACAGCTTTTAGTGAAACTTTATATTTACTGAGAAACTGGTTTATAACATCGAAAAGGAGCCATTTGGTGAACAGATGAAAGGAATCTAAAAAGTTTTAGAACTTTACGAAGCCTCCAAATTTTCGTTCAGCTACTATTTAATTGAGATCATAAACCATAGTTTTTTAAACGAAGATTTTTAGATATGATCGATGATCTTTATAAAAAAATATAATGGGTACCTCGGGGATGAGGTTATTTTTCAAATCCAGGAACCAAACTGTCGTTGGTAATGCTAGTTTTTCAATCTCAGTAATCCGATTATTTGAAAGAGTTAACACTTGGAGTGGTAGTCGTAGAAGCGATTTTTTTGGTAGCATAGTTATCTGTAAAAAAAAGGAGTATGAGGTTTTTGAGTATTGAGAGGGTATTTGCTCTAGGTATTTTGAAAATTTGAAAGTACCGTGAACTGGCTATTTGAGCATTCGTAGTGCATATTGATAGTAGGATTGAAATGAGCCTGATAACCTGATTATAGTCGAGATGTAGGGAGTGAAGATTTTTGAGTTGAGTTTCATCGAATGTATTTGATTTAATTTCGGATATCATATTATGAGTCAAGTGCAGATATCGAAGTTGATAAAGGTATGTCATCGCCGAGGATGGTATTGACGTCAGGCTGTTCTGATTTAGTGTTAGTTGGTAAAGTTTGTTCTGAAAGAAAAAAAAACCAAAAAGTTTTGTTTCTCGAATTAATCAATTTCTGGCATGCATCGGAAATGCAAGCACCCTCTTCTGATGTTTGAGAGATTTATTTATTATTTTTTTTTGAAATGTCCGATAAAATAAGGGATGAATAGATTCTTCGACCTCAAGACCACGAAACGCGTTCACATTAATTGTTTCGATATGATTATTGGTGAAATCGAGAATTTGAATATTGTGATGTTTGAATGCATCCTGATTGATAAATGCTACACTACTGTGCATAATCGATAGTGCAACGATGTTATAAACCGTATCCTAAAATGAATAAAACTTACTCATTTTTCTCTTACCTTAATTAATTGTGTGCTAAAAATAATCTAGTGATGGAAATTCTACAATTAGGCTAACATTATGAGAGAAAAGTGATCGATTATCATATGGAATGGTTGGTATGATTGTCCATGGTTGACGGTAACATTTCACATGAATGTTACTACCCTCACCATCAAGATTTTCGCAACTGCATGTTTTCCATTTGGAGTGTGGTGTTGGATCGAATCTATAAATAAATCATATCCCATAGATTCCTTTCATTCATAAAATAATTTTATTCATAGAGGTGAGAACAAGAAATTAGAGAAAATGCTTTAATTAAGGCTGTGTTAATTAAATAAGCTCAATGTGGTAAGAGAAAATCATTACAATCTAGAGGTTATAATAATTTCTTGTTAACTGATATATAATAGTTTTAAATTTGTGGATGAGATAAAGGAATAAGACATTCTGATTCAAAAAAAAAATTTACAAGCATTCTTGTTTGGTGAAAATTCCTGAAGATTGTACGAAGACTGCTCGTGCAACAATGATAATATTGAATAGAAATAGACATATTGGAAGTTTCTTGAATTCTCGTAAATTCACTACATACATAGGCATGATTGATCATCCTCTTTTTTTACATGGATTATCTGTTTTTGAATTATATTCAATTTCTTCTTAACCCATTAGTTTTCTTCTTTCTTTTTTTTCATACGATATTTTATTTCCAAAATCTGAAATGTTAAGTTCGAGTTGGGGGTAAACTAGGACATTTTAAGTTTGTAAAAAACCAAAGAAAAAAGCTAGGCCAGCAAACTAGGGCAATAACATCACAAGCAATAAAAAAACAAAACAAAACAAAACAAAAACACGTTAGGATAACACGAATTGAACCATGCATGTGATAGTTGAATGTTCAATGTTATTTTGATGGCCCAAACCTCATCGTGAAGATAATTTAGAGCAAACCAAAAATGGAATGCCTAGAAAAGTCAATAAATTGTAATCATCATAAGAGGTATTCAATGAAGTATAGCAAGAACTAAGTTCAGTGAATTAATAGTAGGATGATAAAGGAAGGTAAAAGATTTGGTTAAGACGGTATATTGATAATAGTAATTTGATAAAATTAGGATAATTTGATAACATAGTTGATGATGATACATTCCTATTGCAGTTGTAAACTTTAATAGTATGATGATAAAGTAAGGATTAAGCAGTAAAAGATTTGGTTGAGATGGTATATTGATAATAGCAATTTGATAAAATTAGGATAATTTGATAATATAGTTGATGATGATACATTCCTATTGCAGTTGTAAATTTGAAGTTATCTATTTCTCCGTTCCCTATACCCTTATGATGAGTTTGGATATGCCACAAAGCAGTTTTGCTGATTGAAATGAAATGAAATGAACAGTTGTGTTGCTCTATGTATACTACTTATTATATATATGTATATATATGTATGTCCCTCTTTACACTATACAACTTGGATAGCATTATATTTATGTATTTTCCTAACTTCAGTATGTTCAGGACTAACATGACAAGAAGTGAAACCAAAGAGGCGGTATTTTAAACAGTCATAGTGATTAATTAATAAGCAACAACTGGATGATTCTCGTAATTACTCTTACAAATTTTAGTCCTTTGAAAATGAACTTTGTGGTCATTGTGATCACACAAGATGATCTTTGGCCTCTCTTATAAGATGATTAAATTCATTATGTAATATATAATTTTCTTTTTTGGAGAAACAGGTATACATATATATATACATATATATATATATATATAACAAAGATGATTCGTTTTGTTAACTCGAGAGGTCAGATAAGGATTTGGGACTGAGTTGACCTGTGCGTTTAAACATCTGTTCATGATCAGTCAGGCTGCAAGTTTGCATTTTCTATTTCATGTGAACCTTATAAATACTATAAGGAATTAGGGAAATTTTCATTTCAAATTATTTTAAATTATTTGTTTGCTTCTTTCATCAAAAATGAAAAATAGTAAATATTATCTTTTTGGAAAAAAAAACGATTAAAAACTTTTATTTGGGAAAAGGAAATTTTTCTAATGAAAGCATTTAGGATAGATGCATTAGTTTTCACACAAATAGCTTTCTGCCCTTTCGACATCACATAAATTCATTTGTCGTTTAGTAAAAGTGTGAATCATAGAAAATATTTTCTCTCGAAATCCGCAATCTTTCACTTCCTAATCAAACAGGTTGATGATCATTTATAATCTCAATGACATTCTGTACTTCATAGATATTAGAGCTAAAAAAAAAGGATAATCATCGTAGTCTCCGTGTGAAATTACTTAAATTTTTGGAAATTAAAGAATTCCGACATAAAGTGGGGTATATGGTTGGGATTTATCTAAAAATTTTAATGTTTTTCTCTTTTTTTCAATGATAAGTCAACGTATATTCTCGCAATACTTGTAAAAGTGCATTTTGAAATGTACTCGAATGTCACCCGAGAATTTGATTGGGAGAAAAAGCTTTTATGAGCACCAAATACCATAAATAGATATTGAAATGAGACTAATTTGATGTTCGCCATTTCCAAAAACCTACGATAAATAGAAGCATTTTTTGAGAGATATATTCCATTAAAATAATTTTTTTTTTTGAATAGTATGTTTGCAAAGAACATTAATACTGAGTAAACCACTGAAAAATGAATTTTCCGTAATTTGCAATTTAAATGGAAACAAAGGAATTGGTTATTGAAGATACGATTCGATGATGCAACTGTCTTTTGTTGTGTCATCGTATCAGAGTTTTGCTTTTAAGATAATTGATTATCATGGGAATGTGGTGAAACAAATGGCAGAGGATATGATTATAATGAATTGATAGAAAATGTAGTAGTAAGTTCGGGAACATCAATTTTGGTTTTGACGTATTTGTAGTCATTTTGGCAAAGTCAGGCTAATTTTGTAGATTGTTTCGAAAACCGATTTCATTCTTAGGACAGACATTTTCTCTGAATTTTTCGAACTAAAATTGCTTAAACTTCGCATTCAATTATCTTATTTTCTTCCCCGAAAATTGGTTTTTTTTTTCCATTTGAGCTAGACGAGATTTAGGAAGGAGCGTTGTCTTCCGTAATTTTGTTAAGTTCAGTTTGAGTTATTTGAAAATATACTTTGAATTAACACTGGAGCGACTGAGTGAGAGATGTTATAAAATGGTTGTTGGACAGAATGAGTTTCCGTCTCCCGGATACGATTTGGATATGCAAAGAAATTTGTAATAATAATCTAAATAAAAGCTAATTTACAAAAAACAAGCATTTTCTACCAGAAGAATGATATGCAATTGTTTGATAAGCCAATAATTTTCGTATATTTAATTATAAGCTTATTTACTCATCTTGCTTAACTCATTTTACTATTATTTACTATTATCTTGACTTATGTACGTATATTTTTAAGACATTTACTTATTAATTAGCACTTAATTAACGTATGATTAAATGTATATATACCTGCATATATGGCGAATTAATATATACATACCTGCATACATAGAGGAAATGTAAGCATATATATATATATATATATATATAGGAATGAAATGTAGCCATTTTAATCAGAATTATTTTACAAAAAATTGAAATCAATCCGTCTTATCAGTGGATATGAATATTTTATTTTTATCGTAGATACAGTAAGAATTGAAGCTTTTACTAGAGCATCTTAAAAAATGAAATATTTTAATCATTAAATGGAAAATTGCTTCGTTCATTTGTTCATATGTTAACGAAGTGGAAAAATCCGATTTGATGATTGATGAGCGAAAAACACTGAAATAGAATGTATTCTGCTTGCAGAACAATGGAAGTTGAGGAATATGGTAATTAAAAGTTGGACGAATTTTAGAATAAATCTAGAACTCTGATAGCATTTATTGCATCGCTACTAATCACTTTCCCCTTATTTCAGAAAATGAAATATTTTAGTATTTAGAAGTAAAACAATTTAATGAGAGCAAAAAAAAGGGACTATAAACTCTATAAAGAAGTAGTAGTTTTGTTGTTGGAAGAAATAAGGATGTTCAAGATAGCAGACCAAAGATCAAGTGAAATTTGATATTCTTTTTCTCGAAATGAGCAATTGATATGTGCTTCTCAAAATACGTATATTAATATTTCACCAGTATTTTTCTATCCTTCCGATTATTCTAACAGAAAAATTAAGCTAACAAAAAAAGAAAGAATGAAATAATTCAGTTTTGGAATGCTTGAAATGATAAATGCTCTACATGGCTAATGAAATAACTCATTCTACAAACTTTATGCATTAAATGAATGGGAAATTATATTTCTCGGAACTCGAAAAAAAAGGAAAATATTATATCTCGGAAATATTTGTTTGAGATATTCTTGTATAATTCATTAATTGCCTTGTTTAATATATAAAGTAAAGTAGTCGTTGCTAACAGGAATCTTTCTGATTTTATCCGTTAGAATAGAATTATTTGTTGATCAGTTAAATTTCCAATTTTAGGTCATTTCGGAGCATCTCACTCATAGCAACCGTACTTTCACCAGTGCTAACAGATGTCCAAAGACGATTGTTATTTCGTGTTTGCTTGGCTGCAGCCTTACTTTCACGTTTGGCGATGCAGAATTTGGTTCTGGTTCAACCGTATCTCTTGAAGCGACTTAAGGAATTGCGTCGACTTGCTTGTAATGCTTTCAAAGAAGTTAGTTTGGATTTCATACTTCGTCTCTGTTGATTGCTTGCTTCGTTACTTTTAAAAATATTTTTTAAGCATAATAATTAGATTCGAAATTGTATATCGGATGAGTTTCTCACAGTTTTTGGTTTAAAACAAGGAATGGGTTATAATATTAGGTGTAAGATTTGTATTAGGTAGTTTGAAATAATTAGTAGTCCAAATGGTAATGAATTTAGTACGTAGCAATAACTTTGAAGGTTTTTACTATCAAAGAAACCAGGAAATAGGGATATCATCAAAGCACAATTTATATTGTAATCTTTCTTGTGCTGCCTCGAAAAAAATTCCTCGAGTTATATGGGGATTTGTTCGTGTGGACATCGAAATGGAATTTGGATTGCTTTAGAAATTGATTGATCTAACTACTGTATTATGCTGATGAAGTTAAAGAGATTCGGTTAATTGGATTTGTTGACTGTCAGGGGATTCGGGAAAGAGAAGAATTAGTAAAAATTCCTGTATATGGAAGGAATGTCGGGCGGAGGAGTAGGGCACTCTTTTCCTATCTTGAATTTGTTTATTGGCTTAGAAAGCATATTTTAGGAATTAAATATTTTGTTTAAATGGAGTGAAATTGATTTGATCTGCTTATATTTCATTTACCAGTGATGATTCGGTATTCAATAAATGAAATAAAATGTACTGATGCGGTTAATGCTTTCAGAAATCTTGATATGATGTGGGCTAGAAGGATAAGTTTACATTTCTCAGGCGCGAGTAAACTTTGTAAAGGGTGCAAAAGGTGCTGAAAGTTGTTAATGTTAATAGCTTGTTACATTTTGCAACTTGAAATTTCTCTTATAATTTTAGGTTTTCTATACATGTCAAAATCGCATGCTTGAAGCTGATGAGATCAATGCGTTTTTGGTGTATATTGTTGTTCCACAATGCACGTATCATGATGACAGTTCTCCGAAGGTTCCATTTAATCTTCTGCGACTATTTCTTTCATGGACCCTTATCCCGAAGTAAGTATTTGCTTGTTCTTCATCTTTTTGAAGCAATTTTTTTGTTTTTAAATTGATTGAGTTGTGCCATGGTACTTTACATGTACTTAAGATATACTTAGTGTACTTGTTTTGAACTAGTTCGCTAGATATTCTTAGTTTTTAGTAAATGATTGCAGGAAGTTTAAAAATTCAATACTTTCCAGATTGTTCTATCTTTTACGTCTCCAAGTCCCACCAGTCAGTGGTGCCGTGACACATTCAGTGCTTTCAATCTTGTGCAACATGCTCATATCGAAAAGTGTTAGCAAGTTGGTGAAAGAGAAAATCATTGATGGTTTACTCAGTTTGCTTACTTTGGCAGACGAGGTTATGCCTGATCCAGTGGCGGATATTAATCTAATTGAACTTCCGAAAATTCCTGGTAATTGGAACTTACTTCCATACAATTCCTCCGTGAACATCAAATGTCCAATTTGCCTTGTGGATGTATCGATGTCCGTTATCCTTGATACAGAGTAAAGCATTGACAGCAAATCAAATCTTATTTACCATATTACATAACATTGTATGTGTCTGGGGTAGAATTTTTTGTGTTCATAGTAATATGACTGAAGTTTTCTTTTAAATCTAGCAAAGAAACCACTTCAAAATTAATATCGTAAAGAAAGATTCCACAAATTCAGGTTAAATTTAGGCTCGTGTTTGTCGTATTCTGCACTTTTTTTGTTGTCTCTATTACGCTGTGTAATAATCCGTTATTCTTTGACTTTGCATATAATATTCTTTCAGGTTTAAATAGTGGAACTTCTATGATTCTTTCTGAATTGCCGAAAGTTTTAGCATTTATTTTTGACTCCTTACCTCAGCAAGGTGAAAATCGTAAGCTTAATACGAAACATTTGGAAATCTTGAATAGGTTGGCAGCCTTCTGATTTAATAATTTCAATTTTTTAAAGCGTGTAATTTTTTTCACTAATTTGTTATGACGATTTTTATTGCAAATTAGAAATTTAAAGTAACAACTTTGGAAGATGTTGTAGTTCCTGAAATGTGGTCTATATTTTAGGATAAGCGAATTTATCGAAGATGAAGAAATGATTAGACGATATGTTTCAATTTTGCTAACATTTTTGGAATCTGGAATTGTTCGTTCCGATGATGCTGTTCAATGTTCGCTTCAAACTGTCTTACGGATGGTTACAGCAGCAACAGATGTGACCCAGTTTTTGAAGTAACTGTCTATAACTTCAGCTAGAATTTTCTTGTAAATTGTAAATTTCAGATGAATTATTAACTTTTTAAGCAAATTTGCGTGATGCCAACAATACAGTTCCTAATATTGAATATTCATAATTTCGAAGTGTAGTTACTTTATTTTAAAAAAGCATTATGCTGATACCATTGCAAGACTTGTTTCCTAAATGTCCGAACGACACCGCTCAGGCTATCTGTAGCATGAAAAATTTCTATAATGTACTCCTGCACTTGATCATCTGCTGTGTATAGTCACAGTCGTGATACCACTTCTTATACTACCATAATATTGAACATAGAACTATATTAATAACGGAATTCTTAGATCTTCAAATGCAGAAACTTTTCAGCAATCTGATAAATGTGCAATCTTTACTAAAGGAGCGTTCGCATCGTGAGAGCTTGCAAAAAATTGAAGAAGCCATAGCAATGAAGCTGAGGGAAGACAATAAAAGGAAAGCGGAATTAATAAGTTATGTGGCAAGTCTAGATGCATGGGATGGAAGAAGAATTGATGAGCCGGATTATGATAAACGACACGACGCCTATCAAAATTTGCTCAAGGTTTGTACCTCTCTATTAGTTGAAATGATTTTTAATTTTGAAATTTCTTTCTCAATGCAGTGATTGTCCAGAGTGATTAGAAGTCCTTTTTGTTTCTCTTCTCATTTTGAAACTTCCAGGCTTTAACAACAGACGAAGTAATTGAGCCAGTATTACTTTATTTACTACTGCATAACGATTATTATGTTATTGTTCAGGTACCTTCAATTTTTTCTTTAAAAGGGATATTTTGTAAATATCTGAAGTTAAAAGTTTAATGCAAAAACATCGTTGATATATTTAATTTTCTGCAAAGGTTTGTTCAATTTTTTAAAAAAGAAGTTGTATTTGGCGAAGAGTTTGATGTTGTTTTTATATTTGGTGCAGGTAAACGATATTTCATTGCGTTCAGCGGCAACGAAAAATTTTCACAGTATTATTGAATACTTCGGAAGACGTAGTATAAATGAGCATGGAAAACAGGATGGAGTTGATTCTCACATGTTACCTCTTATTTTGAAAGGCTTACATGATCCAAAAGAGGTATTTTCTAATTTCCCTCTTATTGATATTTAATGTAAATTTTATTGATATGAAGGAGAAAGTTTAATTTTGAAATACTTATACTTATCTGTATAAATGGTTATTGATAAATCTGCTAAAATTTCAGATAATACGCCACGATTTTGTGAATCTTTTGGTTTCGATGGTTACATGTTTTCCGACACACAGGCAGCTTCGTTATCTTGAATCACTCAGGAATACTGTAGAAGTTGATTTGGACTTTTTCGAGAACGTTACTCATATGCAAATTCACCGACGACAACGTGCATTTTACAAACTTGCTCAAAGCCTGCAATCAGAGGAAGTTAGTAGTTGTTATTTATATTGAATGTGCACGGAATTTAGAAATTTCACGTTCGTCGTAATAATTTTATAAAGCGTAATTTGTCCTCCAAAAATGTCCATTACATTATAGATTCGCATTCCGAATGGAGTTTTGCTTCGTTTTATGTTACCTCTTTTACAACCTTACGTGATGCATTTGTCCAGTAGTACGTCGGCGCTTAGTGACGCTGCACTGGCACTTTTTACACAAATAATGCGTGGTGCGCCGTGGAAAAAGTAAGTTAAAAGAAATTTGTAACTATTTATTCCTATTGCCTGTAGTTCTTTTTTTTTTCATTATAAGCTTAATTCTCCATCTCTTTCGGAATAGTATGGTGACAATTCTGAAGGACAAACATTAGAATTTTTCAAATTTCCATTCTCGACCCATAATTCAGAACCACGAGAGTCATGCAACTTAGGAAGATTTTGGCCCAACCACTGGGAATGTACTAGCTGTTGTCACCAAATATACTGTTAATCCATTTTCCAGGTACTTTCCCATGTTGGATTTTTATATGAAGCGTTTGAGAAAAGAAAGTGTTAATGTCAATCACAAAGCAATTATAAGGTTAGTTTTTAAATCCTTTTTTGAATGACTATCTTTTCAATTTAACTTTGAATAATGTAGTTGTTTTAAAAATTTATTTTGCAATGGGAAATAGGTGGTAATTTTCAACTGAAAGTAGGCTTGTGAGAATATTATCGCATGTTTGTTCTCTCCCGATAATTACCATACCGTAAGATAGATCTTTCTTCCTAGGAAATTTCGTTTTCAGGTTTAATTAGAGTTCTAATTTTGTTGGGTTGTCAATGATCGGATTTTAAAGTTTAATAAAAACTTCGAGTCTTTTTTTTTCCATTTCAGTTTATGCTTTTGAGACGTTGTATCCCAGTTAACTTTTGATGGATTAATTAATGCAAAAATTTGGCTGATTCTTGCTTTTCAGATAATGACTAAAAATGAAGCACTAGAATTGCTTGAAAGAGCTGCGTAATTTCAGGATTATTTATTTGTCAGGGTTATTTATTTGTCTCGGTCGAAGAGCTGCGGGATTTCAGGGTTATTGTTGCGCTCGTGGACGCTTTTCATTTTGATGTTTCCGAAGGGGAACAACATGAACCTGTTATAAAGCGGAGAAAACGAATGATGAGATAGAAACTGAAGCAAGTGATAAACCTGAAGATTGGATAGAAGCTCGGACTGATGAGATCACAGCCGAACTGGATGCTAGTGGTACATTAAAAGAGAACACTTCAACAATACATCAGAAAGTTGTCGGGTATTTGATACCACGACTGAAAGACTGTGCCACCGGCAAAGTAAGCAATTTTTCATTATGCTTTTAAATAACACACGATAATTAATGCATCCATCTAGACAACATGGCATGCGAAGTTGATGAACTAAGGCGATCAGGGTAGAAAAAAACTAGAAGGATTGGAGAAGGCAGAAAAGAATAGTCTGATTGCCTTCTATTAACAAATTCTGAAAAAATTTATTGTTTGAAATTGAGATTTTTCCAGCTTTTCGCATTTCCTTCAGTCAGTTCTACCAATAGTTTTCACATTGTTACTATGAAACTTTTAATTTATGGATAGAAAAGGCGGAATAAATCTTTTTTTTTCAAATTTAGAAATTTCGCAACCATTCTTGGCTGTATAAACCTCATACGGGAGGTTGTAATTTTAAAAGTAACCAAGTTCTTAGCTTCATTTCACACCTTTTGGCTTATCTCATTTCAAGTAAACTGTTAAACAGATAGAGTTGGTGCTTATAGGACTTAGTGTCTCATCGAAAAGCCCAGTCTGGAAAATATTACAAAGAAGATGACGACATACAGAGGGCTCCTGTTGCGTTGGCTACCGTCAAATTGCTTCAAAAAATGCCGCAAAAAATCATGGACTGTAATTTACCTGGGTAATTCGCATGTTTAATTCATGCTAGTTCTACAGCTCTTTTTTCTTTTTTCTACTTAAATAGTCGAGACAAGATGGCTGTGTATTCTCTCCATATAGTATATCATTTACCTTGAATTTTTAAACTTTTTATATAATAGACTAGATTTTGATTGGAAGATGATTTCTTTTTCTAGATTTCTTTGATGCAAAAATTTTATTGTTTTTACAGTGTTGTAATCAAAATCTGCTCTTTGTTGATGTCACGATCAACTAATGTACGGGAAGCAGCTGGTAAGACTGTTATCGAAATTGCTAAAATTTTGGGTCCCAAATATGTTCGTTTCATAATACGAGAAATGAAGCAAACTATGAAAAAAGGATATCAGGTATAAATAGTTTTTATCACCACAACTCTGCGCCTATTAAATATACGAGGAATTTCTTCGCCCTTTTTCTTTCGACATTTTAACCATATGTTATAGGACTTGAGAGTTGATAAAATAACATAACATCAATGGCTTGTATTGTAATTGCCGTATATGATTCATTCACTGTGTTGTCAGTAGTATTATTATTGCTACTGACAGTACATTGAATGGGTCATGTACAATTTTTACTGTTGCATCTACAGACATTTTGAATAAGATTATATCTTAGGATTTACCTAAATCTACAACCTGGCTTGAATCTACAGATGCGATAGTTTCATCCATCCATCTACTCCATGTGATTACATATCTTAAAGCAATGTTTGTTGTTTGCATTCTTTTGCGCAACTGTCGAACATTTTGAGACGTAATATTTGAGTTTTAACTTTGGTTCATCCTCTGTTATCGGGATAGATGAATAACTTATCTCCTCCCTCACTTTTCATATTGACTCAGAGATTCACAGAAACTTAAATCTTTAATCTGAAATATATATTGGGTAATGGAAACAATGAATTTGTATCCTCGCCGTTGTGAAAAGTCATCGTTTTTTTTAAAGTAAAAACGAATTTTTATTGAATTGGGGAAAACTCATACTCTTTTTAGCTTCATGTGATGATTTTCTATGTGCATAAGTTATTGTCAGCAATGGAAGAGCAACTTTGTGCTGGTGACCTAGACTCGTGTTTAATGGATATCGTTGATGTAAGTATTTCATTCGAAAATTTTCTGAAAAGGAAAAGTATGAAAATATTGATGGTTACGTTTTGATAAAATTTCTTTAAAGTAGTGAAATATATGGAAGATTTTCTGGATGTTCAAAATTTTTATATTTGAATTTGGCTAAAACTAGAACTTCAGCTTAAGCAAACTATCAGTTGACTGTAGGTGTGTACAATGGATTTATTTGGTAGTGTAGCTGAAGAAAAGACTGTATCTGGCATTACCAAAGATGTACCGGAAGCGAAGATACAACGAACATATGAGACGTACAGATTACTTGGTCGATATATAAGCTCTCAGTGTCTTGGCAGTGTTTTAGTAGTGTTGAAAAAGGTTCCTTCAGTTTCTCCTTTAGATTTTCAAATTCTCAAATGTTATTCTATTTATAAAAACCATCCGTATTTGGTTGTAATACTGCAGTCACTGATGTATTGTGGCCTCTTTCTTTATATATATATATAAAAGAAAGGTAGTCTATTACGCTTTCTCAATTCTTTGTTAAACGATGTGTATGTTTACATCCTTCTCGTTATTTAATTATTTGTTCATATTTTAGATTGTAGAATCTGCACCAGATGCAAAAACAGTGCGAAAGGTAAGTCGTTTGTTGCGGCAGTATTCACTTGGAATATCGACCAATGAAGGAATCGAGCCTGAAGTTGCGCTGATATTTGCATATCAACTTCTAAATGATCAAATAATAGAAGTTTTAAAAAAGACCGAAGACACTGTTCAACTAAATGCGCAACAAACAAGTGAAGGAAAACGTCCAGAAAGTTGTTTGGTTTTAGAAAAAGAACCTAATCGGTTATTTATTTTGATATTAAAAAAAGCATCTTTAAATATCGAAAATCACTTTTTACATTTAGTACCAAAGTATTAGCAATGTTAGCAACGAAAGTTGTAAAGTTCTCATATTTAAGTAGATTTTGTCACTTTTTTGATAGAAATATTTAAAAGCTAGTTATAACCCTTGTAATTTTACGGGTTTAATAAAGGCTTCACTATTTCGGCATTAAAACATTGGTAGAGAAACGAAAAGCAAGGGAGTTAATTTCTTCAGGAACATAAAGCACTTCTAATCAATGTTTAATTGAAAATTGAAATTAAATTTGCTGTTGTATATAATATTTTACTGTAGTTTCTTCCTTTCCTTAATACAATAATGTTTCCTGACATTAAGAGTCATATTTAGATAATTTCAGTGTGGGAATGATTGTTAAAGTGTCCATGAAGAGTAGAATGCACATTTTTGTCGAATTTGGCCTCTCGGAGCTACATTTGGTGTTGAAAAAGAAGACTTTTAATGTAGAATCCACGGAAGATGTTGCACGATTGGATCCATTTGTTGATATTATTTTACAGTGTCTAAAGCTGAAATATGATAAGGTAAGGCTTAATTGTTACGAATTCATTAGCATCCTATTGTTTCATAGTGGTTGATCCAGATAGTGTTATATTTTATATTCTGTGCAATTTTTTCTTTTGCTCGTGACTTTCCATCTCCTGATTGGAACACAGGGATTATTGCGATATTTTGAACCAGTTATTAAATATTGAATAATATATGAAATTAATATTTGTGGATTGTAGTTAGAATTCGTAAAGGTAAGATTCTTTTGTTAGTCATTTAAAGTTATGGAATTACGTTGATTTTTAATATTTATGTTCAATTAATTTAGATCCTTGTGAATGCCCTGCGATGCTTCCTAATATTACTCAGATTCCCTCTTCCTTCACTGCGGTCGAATATGACCCAGTTTTTGAATCGTTTGTTCATTTTACTAGCTGATTATACGACTTCGGATGCGATTGGCAACACTCAAGAGTATGTCCGAAAGTCTGTGGAAGTTTCTCAGCTGGTGTTCAAGGTAGATTTGTTTTTCTCAGCATCGTAATTCATGCAGCATTCGTTTTCTCTATAGTTAAAGATTAACGGATACATGTTGTTTAACAACAACTTCATAAAACTTCAGAAAAAACCATGACGAATTAATCTTTTTAATTTCTGCTATTGTCCTTCTGAAAACGTCGAAAGCAGATTCGTTTGTTTTCTTATTATGAAACTTTAGTTGGACTTTTTTCAAATTTTAATCTTTTTTCGAGTTTCGGAATAATTTTTGAAGGCTATTACACAAATAATAAAAGATGCTCCTTCTCTTGCGCTTGCATCAAAACGTTTGCAATTACTGCTGACATATGTTGAGACCGATATTGTTGATAATCAGAAGCAGGCAGTAGCATTTCCACTTATCAAAGCAATCATCATCCGGAAACTTCAGGATCCAAAGGTTAGCATCGTTGAGAATATGTTTCATAAGGCAGTTACAATCTTCCAGTAATTTGTTGATAAAGTAGATTAATGCATAATGAGGTGAGGAAGTTGATTTAGCCACGTAAAACCAACAAAAAATTTGTCTTAAAAATTTGCAAACATTTCATCTTTCGTAATTATTTTCATTAGTACTAAGTAGCAGTTCTTAAAATAACTGTTAAAACATTGATCGTTTATATTATGCTTGAATTAATTTGGGAGGTCAATATGAATTTGTTTAGATCATCGAAATTATTCAATGTCTCGCAGAAACTGCTGTTGTATCAGAAATTTCGCATATTCGAGAGCAGTGTAGGCAGGTCAGCCTTTGTTTGAATCATGGTTAATTTTGCACGAGCAACAATTATTCATTGTAAATACCCAAAATTTATTATGATCCAAGTTTACATAGACGTCCTCACTGATTCAAGAGAATGGTGGATTTATGATTTATGATTCTACCCTCCATACTGGTGCTACGGAACAAAGACATGAGAATTAAATGATTTTAGAGGGAGAAATTATATCTCAAATTAAGATATCAGAAATTACTTTATGTTATTATCCAAAGCTTCACATCTTTGTATGGGTGGTGTTGCTTTGAATTGCTTCACTTTGAATAAGTTTTTATTACCTTCCTCGGTACATTTACAGTATTTCGTTCTTAATTATTCACACATTTTACTCATCAGTGCTAGCTTGACTTCAGTTTATTAAAGCAACCTCTCGTATGCTTATTTGCAAGTTTAACAGTTCTATTTATTCACACGAAGAATTTATTAAAAACAATTTAGCTGACATCTGTAAATGGAATACCAATTTAGTTTAACGAAAGTATACTTATCATTGAACGTCCTAATCTTTGTGTGAGTCAAATAAAGATATACTGATAGCAGTAAAGATAATCCAAGAAAGTAACCTCATAATAGTTATTATAATGGGGAATAAATTCACTTTAGAATAACTTCCTGTCATTTGTAAATACAGTAAATTCCTAAGGTTTTTTGGGACATGATCGAAAATTGATATGGACGAACGCTCGCTATTCCTTTTTTTTTTTTTTTTCTAAAGCATTTCCGAGAATATCGTTCAGGTGATAGCCTTATTTGTCAGTGGCCATCCTCAGTGTAAAAAGCCATCGAAATATGTTGAATTCTTCTTGGAACAAATTGATTATCAACATGAAGACGGCAGAAGATCCGCACTTGAAATGCTGAACATATTTTTTGAGAAACTTACAAAGGTTTGTCTGTTATTTTCGCATTTTTAAAAATGAGCTAATCTAACATCGATTAGACATTGACCAAACTTTGTTATTAAATAGCAGTATCATTGCTGATCAATCATTCAAAGTCGGTCTTTTCGTATATGTTGTAATTCTTGGTGAAGTCACTTAACAGAATTACTTTCTAACAGTATATTCCGGAAAAGCTTTAGTTGCATGCACAGTATTGTTTACTTACAGGAAATTAATGATGATTATGCTTTATTAGCGTTTGTAAAACTAGCAGCTCGACTAATGAACGATGAAAGTGCGGAATGTCGTCAGATGGTTGTTTTGGCCATGCAGAAATTAGTGGTATCTGTATCAGAATCTAAGCGAAATGATCTCTATTTGGCAACAAGAGATTGGCTGAAAAGTAAAAAGGTCAGTTTATTCAAAACAGTTGCTCTGAAAATAACTGAAAATTGTTCGTTATTAACGGTATATTTGAAAAACAGTGACCCAGAAAGCTTTAATACGCAAGATATATTATTTTCAGGAAGCATACATTTGCATTGCCATACAAACACTAGTAATATTTAGCAAGCTAGGAGGTGAGAAATTTGGAAATACTCTCCGGGAGTTATCATCTACATTATCGAAAATTGTTCATACTGATATTCTATATTCATATGCTGAAGAAAGTATTGGTATCATCATTGATAGTCTTAATTTGTTGATGAGCGAACATAAAAACCAAACGACGCAATTTGCTGAAGAAGGATTACTGGATACTATTTTAAGTATGTATTCATGAATTTAGCTAGTTATATTATTAAATGAGTTCATGATTTGAGCGTGGTAGTCAGAAGTATGGAAGAGAACGAAAATTTAAGATTAGAGAGAATGAAATCTGAATTAGGGGTTCGAATTCAGGTTTTTAAGGTTTGATCTTAATTCAGTTTTTGTCATGTTAAGGGAAGTAAAAGGTGCATTTAACACTCTTGAGCTAAACTATATTCATTCTTTGTTCACTGTTATGGATGTTTGTACGTCAGAATTCTACTTTTGTTTTAACTTTTAAATCCAGATTTATCTCCAATTATTTTTTAGGAGAGATGGGTCCTTTAGCACGATGTAGCAAATCGCCCACTGTTCAGTTATCTGCAGCTCGATTTCTTGGCTCATTATTTTCCATTCTTAATAAAGAATATATGTTATCACGAAGCGATCCATCTGCTCGGGAGTTCATGCAGTGGACATTAGCACAAATGAAGACTTACAAACTGACCAGCGAATTAGCTGAACAGGTCGGATCTGAAAGCATGAAAGTTTATTCATTTAAATAATCCACTCATTATTTATCTAACATCAGCTAGCTTCCATTAACGGTTGCGGTGTGTGATAACTTGTTTACATTTCCGTTTCAGGCAGCAAAGAACTTGGTGTACCTTTTCGATGTAGTTACGCAGTCAGATGATGATCTTCGATGGTTTTGTCACAGACTAACTGTGTTGTGTAATTTTGAGTTGGTCAAACTGCCAGCTGAAACTATTCGAGTAATTCACTTCTTTTACCTATTCTTTTGTTTTTGTACTGTGGTATTTCCTTCCAATTTGAAAGTATTTTCAGGGTTTTTCTTGTTGATTTCGGCCTTTATTAACCTTTTTCCCCATTGAATTTATTCATTCATTGACGGACTTATATACCAACTTTTTCAATTATATAATTCCACGTTGCAGAGGATCAATATTTTCAAAGTGACAGCAGTTATTGTTTTGAAAATTGATCCTAACCGAAGTGATATTGTGGTGCAATCATTACTGCCTCCTCTCTATCGTGAAATGCAAGGCAAATCAACACAAAGTATACCTTTTGAATCCATCATCAATTCATCAAAAAAAGAAAAAACTTATGCTGCTAAATTCCTGTTCTTGTTCAGAGCCATTTATATTTAAATATTAGACTAAGGTACCATTATATCGGATGTATGAGTTAAATCGTTATCTATTCTAGGCACTGAAGTGTTGCAAAAGATTGCAATAGAAGTGGCGGAAACAATAAAAGGAAGGATTGGTGATGAAAAATTTACAAAACTGGTTGCTGAGTGCAATAAATTGTTCGCCGCCAAACTTGAAGGAAGGAAACGAAAACAAAAGGTTGTCATAAATCCTTTATTATTGTCTTCTGAAACTGCTAACATCGTTTGTTTGGTACATTCAAACAGGAATTATCCGTTAACCTTAACATAGATTTGCCTAATCCATCTATCATCATCCTCTATAATTTATTTCAAAATTGCAGGAGGAAGCTGTTTTGGATCCGACTAACGCGGCACGGAAAAAAATTCGAAAAAATAAATTGAAACGAAAGGTCAAAAAAAGACGAACGGCTAGGTGAATAGAATTTGATGGTTTATTCCGCTATCGATTATCGATCAAGAAAGGTGCTGTATTTTGTTACTGTATTTTCCACTGCAGAACTTCCTTCTCTCTGGGTGGGATCACAGGAATTATGCATTTGTGGTTGGATGGATTTGCGACAGTGTGATATGTTCAAGAAATCAACCAGTACTTTCTCTGCTTTAATTTACCATCTTTGTTGATTCTATTGTTTGTTGTTTCTATTACGAAAATTTTGTATTAACATTCGTTGTTGTGTAATTTAATAAAACTAAACTCACCACTTTATCTCTTCTTAAGATCAATCAATTTACACTAAAATGATAGTAGCAGTGAGAGGGAAGGAAGATATAAATGAATTTAGTTAACTGTTGAGTCTGCAAACATTGAAGGTATAAAATTCCTGCAGTTGATTCATTATACTTCCATGATTTATATGCTATCATTTTTACATAAGTGCTTTTTGGCGCTTAGAATTTGCAATAACAGCTAGCAAATTGGTCAGTAGTTCTGTCATACTTGTGGACAACGTCCACCATTTACTATTGTAACTGAGGAATTGAGAAGCGAGAACAATCATAATTTTTATATTACTGTGGTTGGTTTTTTTTTTNTTTT